TTACAAACAAGACCACACTAAAGCTACCAGCACAACTATGTTTATTGCAGCATTATTTACCATAGCTAAGATATGGAACCAACCCAGATGCCCCTTAGTAGATGAATATCTATATCTATAGATAGATAGATAGATAGATATACATGAATTCTATGCCCCATTTGTTAGGAAATGGAAAGGCTTGGAAAAAATTATATTAAGTGAAGTAAGCCAGACTCAAAAGAAACAGGTCCCATGGTTTCCCTTATTTGCAATATCTAGTATATGTTCAAGACAAACAATTCCCTTATTTGCAATAACTAGTATATGTTTAGGACAAGCAGAAGAGTTCAAAAGCTATGTACATATGACCATATAATCTGATGAGAAATGAACCCCAAGATAGGGACACTAGAGATTTTATCTTTCTTGTTCTTTTTATTTTATTTTATTTTATATATTTATTTATTTATTTTTGGTTGGTCATTGGGCTTGAACTCTGGGCTTAGGCCCTGTCCCTGTCCTCTTCAGGTCAAGGTGAGCACTCTACCACTTGAGCCACAGCACCACTTCCAGTTTTCTAGTGGTTTATTGGAGATAAGAGTCTCAAGGACTTTCCTGCCCAGGCTGGCTTTGAACTGCGATCTCAGATCTCAGCCTCCTGAGTAGCTAGGATTACAGGCATGAGCCACCAGTACCCAGCAACTTCTTGTTCTTTTTGATGTACTTATAATGTACTATGTGATTTTTTTTGTTTCTTTATATGTTGTTCCTCCATGGTACAACCTCTGTTTTCACTGTATTTGATTCTGGTGTCCTGCATGTTGTATATACATTTTTCTAATTTGGAGAGGGAAATAACAAAATGCTGAAACAAGGATACAGTTTGACCCATTGTAACAATGAGATGTACAAGAAAACAAACTTTACAACTTGGGGCTGGGAGGGGGAGTTGGAGATGTGGGGAAGGAAGGGAGGGTAGGGGAAAAACAAAGGAGGAGGTAACAATGCTTGATAGGAAATGTAATCATTACCTTACTCATGTAACTGTAACCCCTCTGTACCCTATTTTTACAATAAAAATATAAAAAAAGAAAACAAACTTTACAAACATTGTGGGGAGAGGGTGGAGTTGGGGAGATGGGGAGGGAAGGGATGGTAGGGGAAAAACAAAGGAGGGGGTAACAGTGCTCAATAGGAAATGGACTCATTACCAAGATCATATAACTGTAATCCCCCTGTACAGTATCTTTACAGTAAAAAAGAAACATTTAAAATTAAAAAAAGGATTCCCACTTTGTGTTCTTCAAAGCTATGAATGTGTTTTTTTGGGTAGCATCTTAATTAATTAATTAATTTTGTTGGTCATGGAGCTTGAGCTCTGGGCTTGAACATTGTCCCTCAGCTCTTCAGCTCAAGTTGAGCATTCTACCACTTGAGCCACTGCGCCACTTCCAGTTTTCTGAGTGCTTTATTGGAGATAAGAGTCTCATGGACTTTCCTGCCCAGGCTGGCTTTGAACCGTGATCCTCAGATCTCAGCCTCCTAAGTAGCTAAGATTACAGGAATGAGCCACCTGCACCCAGTGATAGCATTTTTAGTTAAAGCTAGCAACCTAGAGACTTTGCTAAAAAGTCTCTGGGCTATCAGGTGCACAAAAATACAAATAGCAAAAGAAAGATGTGTAACCTCAGCAAATTCACCTATATGCTATACTATCCTGTTAAACTCAAGCTTTCCAAACCTTGTGATTTTGGCAAGTAACAGGATATTTACAGCAGTGTTGGGATTGCTGGTTTACAATGATGGTGCTAAATCTCTGTTTTTTCCTAAGTGGGGCATGCTACTGGACTAAATTTCTTTTTTTCCTGATATTTAGCATATATATATATATATATATATATATATATATATATATACACACACATGTACATATATAGGGATATATATCGGGGGGGGTATATCTATACCTAACCAGAAAAAGTATTCCTTCTAGAAAGAAAAAAAAAACATATGGGGCCCTTACATTTTATGAGACATCCCTTAGTTCATTTGTAGACACAAATTTCTTTTAAAATTGGTATATTGTTAGGAGGATTTTTAAAATGTACTAAACTAATTGGAGCTTCTGCTGTCAAGTTAGCCTTTCACTATGTATTGCAAATCTTAAATTTGTTGACCTTAGAGGACTGTCTCTGTTCATCCTATTAAACTTGGAAGAGTGGGCAGGACCCTTGCCCATCACCTCCTCCTTGAAGTCCTCACTAAGGAAGAGGCTGTGGGGACCAGATGTTGATTCTATTTCTAAGTAAATGGTGAGGTAAAGTCTAGGTCTCAATTTATGTTTTATTCCTCCTTCCGTCATTCTACTAGTTTTCATTCACTACGTCCTGTCAGGTACCTCCTGTCAGACTCTGAGGACATGGTTCTAGCTATAATGAATGCCTCCAGAGATGATCTCATTAGCTGCCGTGTGTTTCTTGTTTATACAATGAATTATCTGTTTCAGTTTTGGGTTGTCTAAAAAATATGACAACAATTCTTCCTGTGAATTTCCTAGATTCCTTCAATAAGCATTTAAAATGGATGTGAGAGAGATTCTTGGAGTATTCTAGCAGAGGCCGCTTCCAAGTGGTTAATTTATTCCTGTTGTCCTTTTTTTTTCCCATACAATTCCCTGTAGAAGTACTACTATGCAATTAAGAACAAACAAGCTTTCTGCCACTTTTTCACTCCTGACACAAAGCATCTGTCTCTGCCACATCTGGGCATCATCCTTCCACATCAAGTGATGGAACCATCAGTGTCTTCATGGTGCCCTAGGCACCGGCTCCCAGCCTAGACAAGATGGTAAGCAAGGCTGAGAGCTATTGATGGGTTTGCGTATCCACAAGAGCTCATCAAGGAAATCAGAAAGAGTAGTAGAGGGAGTAGATGTGACCAAAGCACATTATAGGAATATCACAATGAAGTCCCTTTGTACAATTAATATAAGTTAGTAATAATAACAAGAACAAAAAGATTCACAAGGGTGTCACTAGTTGAATGCCAAGGGTATCCAAAAAAAAAATCAGACAATAAAGCAGAAGACTGGAGAGCTTTGAGTGCCATTTCCACAGGAATCATTAGAAAGCATACCTGGGGAGGAACTTTCCAGAAGAAAATGCTGAATATTTTGCTAACTAAGAGGGGGATAGGCAAAAGATTAGTAACATGTGTGAAGTCTAGGAAATATCCACTATGGGCATAAGAGTTGAAATTTCATGTCTTATTATGATGTGTGGTTGAGTCTCCAATGGTGCCATCCATCCAGAACATAAAAGATAACATATAAAAATATTGAATTTAAGATTTCTGATGATCCAGACTCACTCCTATAATCCTAGCTACTCAGGAGGCTGAGATCTTAGGATCATGGTTCAAAGCCAGCCCTGGCAGGAAAGTCTGTGAGACTCTTATCTCCAATAAACTACTCAGGAAGACACAATGGAAGTGGTGCTATGGCTCAAGTGGTAAAGTGCTAACCTTGAGCACAAAGTGGCTCAGGAACAATGCCCAGGCCCTGAATTTAAGCCCCAGGACTAGCATAAACAAATAATCTCTGATGATCTTTAATTAAAGGAACACACTGATTGGTTTGATAATTACAGTAGGGAAGATTTTAATAGTATTTAATTGCTGAAATGGATATAGATTCTAGTCCACCAGTAACCATAGCTATTCATATGATAGAGATGAAAGGATTATGATTTGAGGTCAGCTAGGGCAAAAAGTCCCAAAGATCCTATCTCAATTAACAAATAACCGAGCACAGTGGCACATACCTGTCAATGTAGATACATGAAAGCATAGAGGGACCATAGTCCAGGCTGGTCTGGGCACAAACATAAGACTCTGCCTGAAAAATAACTATGGCAAAAACAGCTGGTAGAGTGGATCAAGTGGTAGAACCTAGCAAGAACAAGCCCCTGAGTTCAAACCCCAGTACTGGAAAAAAAAGCCCAAACAGAATGTAATTAAATATTTCCTTATAAAAATAATTATTTGCTAAATCACTTATTTGTATAAATGTTTAATGTATAAATGTTACAGAATGATACTTAATGTATAATTGCCAAGAACAACAATACATAATACTTCATGTATAATGTAAGAACTAATGTTTAATGTATAAATGCTAAAGAACACTGTGTAATGTGTAATTGCCAAGGAACAACACTTCTTACCTTGTCCTGGCTCCTGGGAAAGTGTATGAATTATTTTTCTGTACAAATACTCATTTTTAACCAGAGTTTGGGATGCTTCCAAATTTACTGGATTTTCTAGCATTGGGTTAGAAAGCATAACCTAAAAGAAAGCATACAACAGGCACTTGTTCAGGTTTGTCTTGAAAGAAAATGCAAACCAACATATACAACTCCCTACAAGTATTTACAAAATGACTCTTATGTATTGAGCTGGAGATAGACATAACATAGTCGCTACTCCCAATAAACTCTCGATCTATCTTGGTTCTAATATTGTATACTCCTGAACCAAACACTAGGATCAAAGTAAATGTTCTTTCTGGTACCATTTGTTCCTATCACATAAATATTAATTGCATTTTTATGGAAGAGGAACTAAACACTAAGGAACGCTGAAACATTTCCATTGCATAGGGTAAAAAATAAAATCTGTTCATCTTAACAAAAGACCACATCAGATCATAGATAAACAGTACATGTATGGGGTCTTGCACTCTTCACAATCATTAAATGATAATTTAGTATTCATAGCCGTCTTCTATTACTGCTGCAATCACTTACCACAAATTTAGCAGCTTAAGAAAATGCAAACTTATTTATTTTTAATGTACTTTATTGTTGCTTTAGAGGTGATATACAGCAAGGTTATATGTATATACATCAGGTAATAAGTACGTTTTCTTTTGCATAGTGTCATCTGTTCCCTCATCTCCCCCATTCCCTCCCTCCCATCTCTACCCATAAGTTGCATAGTTCACTTTCATCAATGTCCAGTGAGCTCTACTGCTGTACTTTCTCACCCCTTTCCCTCTGATTCTGTGCCTTCCTCCTACCCTCACATAGATGTACACATGAATACACTGTATATAAGATAAAAAATACAGAGTCATCAGAAAAAGGAAAAAACAAATTAAGAAAAAAGTTCGTTGATTTCCATATCTTTGGAGTTCATTTCAGTATGTATATTATATTATATACACATGAAGAGGTGCTTGGTCATTGCATCTTTGTGATTCTCTCCCAAGATTATCCTCTTTTGGTTTCACTGTTCTGTGTATTTTATCACATCCCAGTGGGTTTTATATCTAACTTCTGCATATCAGGGAAAACATGAGCCATTTGTCTCTCTGAGCTTGGCTTACCTCACTTAACATGATTTGTTCTAGCTCCATCCATTTCCCTTCAAATGACGTTATCTTATTCTTTCTAATGGCTGTATATAATTCAATTGTATATAGGAACCACACCACAGTTTTTTTGGATCCATTCATCTATTATGCGACATCTGGGCTATTGTGCATAGTATGGCAATGAACATGAGTACACAGGTGTCCTTATCGTATCCTGGCTCATGAGACTCAGAGTAGATGTCAAGGAATAGTATGGCATAGGGAAGATCTATATGAAGTTTTTTGAGGAGCCTCCAGACTGCTTTCCAGAGTGTTTGTACTAGTTTACATTCCTACAAGCAGTGCAGTAGGGTTCCCTTTCCCCCACATCCCCACCAATATTTGTTGTTAGAATTCAAAATGTTGGCCAATCTAACTGGGGTAAGATGATATCTTAGAGTTGTTTTGATTTGAAAAAATGCAAATTTATTATCTTATATTTCTGCAGCAAAAAATCCAGGATGATTGGACTAGTATCTCTTTTCCAGAACTAACAAGTCAATAGTCCAGGTGTCAGCTGGCTGGGTTTTTATCAGGAGGTTCTGGCAGGGAGTTTCTGCTTCTAAGCTTCATACAGGGGTTGGAGGAAGTTAGTTCCTTGTAGTTTTAGGGCTGAGGTCCCCTTTTCTTGCTGGCTTTTAGCTAGGTATCTTGTCAGCCTCAGCTTCCCCAGTCTTCATACCACACGCTTATGATCTCAGAGCAGTTACAGTGAGATAAAGCTTCTTATGCTTGAAAACTCTTCGACCTCCCCTTCTGCCTCATTCCTTTTCCTCCTTATCTTCTCTGACTTTCCCTGCTTTCATCTGAGGCGTTCACAGCTTCTTTGTATAATCCCCAACAACATTCTTATTTTAAGATGAGCTAATTAATCACTTCAATTCTTGCACAGTAGTACCTAGATTAGTGTTTGTACCAATAACTGGAGGATGGTAGCTCACACCTGTAATCCTAGCTACTCAGGAGGCTGAGATCTGAGGATCATGGTTGGAAGCCAGTTTACCCAGGCAAGGAAGTCTGTGGGACTCATCTTCAGTTAACTCCCCAAAAGCCAGAAGTGGAACTATGGCTCAAGTGACAGAATGCTAGCCTTGAGCAGACAAAGCTAAAGGGCAGTGCTCAGGCCCTGAGTTCAACCTCCAGTACCATCTCACACACATGCAAATTTCTGCCTACTACACTGTCTGTACAACTGGACTGAACAGGTGACCACAGGCACCAAAGAGTTGTTTTGCTAGGCCACAGTTTCTTGATCAGGCACCTCAAAAGTTTCTTGCCCCCATTGCAAATATTTATTCAGTAATTCAGGGTTTAAACAGTTTATGTAAGAACATGCTGACTATAGAATAAACTATGGTTAAAGTTACAACTACTATAAGTACTACTACTCAAATATCTAAATGTAGTTGCAGGCCAGAGTGCTAATTGTGACTTCGAAGTTAAGGAGAAGCTGGGCGTGGTGATGCATATCTATGATCCCAGCGCTTGGGGAAGCAGAGGCAGGGAGGATTGCGAGATTGAGATGAGACTGGCCTGCGTAGGGAGACTTTGTCTTCAAACAAAAGAAAACATAAAAGAACAAAATTATGGAAATCATAGCAGGCTTTTGCTAATGAGAACAATCATCTAACATCTGGTATTTAAAGGCAACAAGAATTTTCTGCTGGTACTTGAGTTTTCCTGTTTGGAAAACCCATTTGGGCCATACGTCCAAGAATATTGTGATTGCTTAAATAAGGATTCATTGGGGATTGCATTTTATCTTTCCAAGTAGGTAAGAACGAGATGAAACTTATCTTCAGGAGCAAGCTTTTAGTCTTTTGCTGGCGAGATAATCTTACGCAGAGAGCACATCTGGTGAGGTTTATGCAGTACTCTTCTCATTAGCCACTGTGCCTAAGACCTACACCTATGATGTATACAGAGCCATTAAATATATTTAATGATTTGGAGAGCCAGTACATGAGTGCATATTAAAATGGATAAACCAGATACCTTGCCAAAATAGTTTTTTAAAAAAGAGACCCAATTTTTAAATTATCTAAGTATGGGTATAAAGTAGTAAAAAGTTCTCCAAGAGAAAAAGAGAAACAGAAAAATTGAATTCTTCCGTGAACAGCTGTACCAATAGTTACATCCAGTTAAGAACAGCTTATGCTTTAGCACTCGTTCTATGGATGGGTGTTGATACTTACATTTGCCCTGCACAGGGAGATATAAGCTTTCAAAGAAATTAAGATTGTAAGCTGGTCGCCAGTGGCTCCTGCCTGTAATCCTAGTCATTCAGGAGGCCGAGATCTGAGGATTGCATTTTGAAGCCAGCCCAGGCAGGAAACTCCATGAGACTCTTAACCCCAATAAATTACTCAGAAATGTCAGAATTGAAACTGTGGCTCATGTGGTAGAGCACTAGCCTTGAGCAAAAGAAGCTCAGTGCCCAGGCCCTGAGTTCAAGCTCCTGGACTGGCACATACACATACACTCACACTCACTCACTCACACACACACACACACACACACACACACACAGAGATTAGAAGGAAATAACAGTAGAGTTAGGGGTTTTTCTTTATTATTATTAATGATTGTCTTTCTTTCACAGAAAAAAATCTTCTGTGATGTGGGTATGTTTGTTTTACTAATATATTAAAAAAAGAAAAATTGTGTTATCTACTGGCTTTTCATGTTATATTTGACAATGCTTTGCAGTCATTTTATTAGTGATTAACAGTAAAAACAATGATGCTATTAACTATTAACTGCTGAGTGCTTTTCTTGGACCAAACTTCACATTTATTAATTAATGTCAACCTCACAAATCACATGTTTCATTGCTAAAGATGAAGAAACATATCCAGTGATGTCAAGTGAAAGAACTGAGAGAAGAGAACAAATCTAATCTCTGAGCTCCCAATTTTCATTATATTAAATTATTCTACAGCTCAAAAACATGACCAGTTTATTCCAGACTTCAGTTCAGGTGAAAGACATAAAAAATGTGTCTCCAAAGGTATCAAAAAAAGTCCACTCCAGATATCTTCATATCATACTTACCCACTTCCTTAAAGGTTTTGCTCAGAATGTCTCTTTACCAGAACACAAATACATACAGGCAGATACTAAGTACATGTTTATAGAAGGAATGAATGAGTAGCATATTTTTAAAAGAGTATATTTTACTCACTATATTAATATAACTAGCCAGAAATTTAACTATTATTTTATTTATCATTTATAATAAGGAACAGACTTTGTATCATAATTTCCATGAGAAAATTTAATTAAGTCAAATGTTTATTCCTCAAATGTTCTAATCAATCAAATGCAATAATTTATTTCCCGATATTTTGATGATATGTAGGTCCCTAGATAGAATATTGCTAAGTCTAATTCAAGTAGTTAAAGCAATCACAACTAAAACAATTAATTTTAGCCCCCAATGAGAAACTAGGGCATTAAGGGTAAGATAGAAGACAGGATGAGGGTATGTGTCTGAGGACCACAATCACACAGGCAAAGGATGCATTTGGGAAATAGGAATCTATCTCAGAAGAGAAGATAGTCCCTGGTTTAATTATTCCCTTGGTTTGCTATGAACTCTCATAAGACAATGCTGCTAACTAGCACTGTTGGAAACACTGGAAAAAGTTGAACATTTTAAGTTGTGATCACTCAATTTGCCTGCAAGAAAGGCAAGATCCATGAGTGAAGGGAAGGTACCTTCAACAAGTAAGGTCAAAAGCCAAAGAAAGCTTAAGACAACCTATAACCCAAACCATACAATTATTCTCTTCTTTGACAAAATGTATATTTGGTTGCGAAAGGCCTTAACTATCCACGTTAATGTAAAATAATGGTTTTATTCTTTAAACACTTAAGTATACATTGCACATTTTAATCTTTGTGCGTTGAATATCTAGAATATTTCAGAGGACTAAAGAATGAATTGCCAAGTGCCAGTGGTTCACATCTCTACTCCTAACTACTCAGGAAGCTGAGGATCATAATTCATAGACAGCCAGGGCAGGAAAGTTTGTGAGATTCTTGCCTTCGATTAACAACCAAAAAGCCAGACATGGAGCTGCAACTCAAGTGTAGAGTGCCAGCCTTAAGTTAAGAAACAATGTCCAGACCCTGAGTTCAAGCCCCAATACTATTACAAAAAAGGAAGAAGCTAGGTGCTGGTGGTTTACACCTATAATCCTCACTACTCAGGAGGCTGACATCCAAGGATCTTGGTTCAAAGCCAGACTGGCATTTTATAATATCCAGTTAAGAACAGCTTATGCTTCAGCAGTCATTCTATGGAAGGGTGTTGATATTTACATTTGCACTGCACAGGGAGATACAAACTTTCAAAGAAATTAAGATTGTAAACCAGTTGCTGGTGGCTCATGCCTGCAATCCTAGTTACTCAGGAAAGTCTCCTATCTCCAAGTAGCCACCAGAAAACCTGAAGTGGTGCTGTGCCTCCAAGTGGTAGAGCATTAGCCTTGAGCAGAAAATGCTTAGGGACAGCACCTAGGCCTTGTGTTCAAGGCCCACAATCATCATCATCATCATCAACAACAACAAAGGAAGTAAGGATGAGAAAGTAAGTGAAAGGGAAAAAGGAAAGGAAAAGGAAAAGAGAAGAAAGTGGAAAAAGAAATAAAGAAAATTTTAAGCTGAGCATGGTGGCAGGCAACTAAAATCCCAGCAGGCAGAGATGGGAAAATTGAGAGGTCAAGCCATTTTGGGTTATATAATGAGACTATGTCTTAAAAACAAAAATTATCAGTCTCTGTCTCTCAGTCTTGTCTGTCTGTCTGTCTCTCACACACATAAATAATACATAACACAATATATACACACATGCAAATACATACGCAAACACAAATATATAAGCCTTACAGAAAATCTATACTTACCTGTAGTGCAAGTAAGACACTGCTCAGTGTATAGCTTGGATTCCATTTAGCAGGGTTATCCAAAAAATCTATACTGGGCCGACCAGTATTTGGGTCCACTGTATTAAAATAATATATTGACTTATTATCAATATATACACTTAATGAAGTTATTATTTAAGACTTATTTAAAATAAAACTAATAAATTAAGGTAAATATTGCATGTATTCTTTCTTTTATTTCTTCTCTCTAGTAAGAAACACTATGCTTGTCCCAGTGCTTCTATCATGTAGTTTTAGCTGTTTCATAGGTAATTTTGTCTTTTTTTTTTGATCCGGTCGTGGGAGCTGAACTCTGGGCCTGGGCACTGTCCCTCAGCTCTTCAGCTCAAGGCTAGCGCTCTACCATTTGAGCCACAGCGCCACTTCTGGCTTTTTTGTTTTGCCTATGTGGTGCTGAGGAATCGAACCCAGGGCCTCATGCATACAAGGCAAGTGCTCTACCACTGAGCCACCTTCCCAGCCCCTCATAGGTAATTTTGTATTGTGTCAAAATAAGTTTTAAGCTGGATACTCATAGCTCAAATCTATATAACTCCAAGTACTCAGAGAACTGAGATCTGAGAACCACTGTTCAAAGCCATCTTGGGCAGTAAAGTCTGAGAGACTTTTATCTTCAATTAACCAGCAAAAAATGCTGGAAATAGAATTGTGGCTCACATAGTAGAGCTCTAGCCTTGAGTGGAAAAGCTAAAGGACAGCACTCAGACCATGAGTTCTCAAGTCCCCGTAATGGCATGCATGCATGCGTGTGTGTGTGTGTGTGTGTGTGCATGCTCACACACACACAAATTACAGAAAATAATAATGTATTTTTGGAAACTACATTAAAACACAAGAGAATATAAAGTAAAATATAAATGCTTCCCTGCCTGCTCCTCTTTAGTTATTACCAAGTGGTCTAAATGAACACATGTACATATAAATAACCATATTCATACAGGGTATTTATTATATGAATGTTTTATGTTTTGTTGTTCAGAATGGCTTTTCATTCAACAATACATTGCCAACATCTTAACTGATAGAAATACTTATCCACAGAGATCTGAGCACCTGTTTTGTGCCCAGCAATAAAGATTCAAGGGATAAAGGGATGTGAAGGGTAAACAAAAGGAGGAGGCTGCAATGCTTGGTAAGAAATGTACGCATTATCCTGCCCATGTAATTGTAACCCCTCTGTACAGTATCTTCACAAATAAAATAAAATAAAATAAAGAAAAAAAAGATTCAAGGGATATAGAAATTACCCAAAAGTCTAGCTTTCAGAGATTTCCTTATTCTGTTTACAGGCAATACATATCATGTAGGTTATTTTACTTAAAAACTCTATCCTAATGAAGATGGAGATTAGTAGCTTGCTTACACTTGGGGGTCTCACAAATGTGGATTCAACCACATGAACAAGTGATCTTGTTTAAAATACCCTGAACACATCTCTGGAATGACTGCAGTGAAAAAAAATCCTACATGTTATTAACCTATGCTAATTTAAAGATAATAAAAATATTTTCTACTCCATTTGCAAAAGTCAATTTTTCAAATCTCTGCTTGGCTACAGAGGGTTTTAAAAGTTTATGAAGTTTACGATGGCATGCTTTTCCAATAGTTTCTGGATTTTATCATGCTTAGAAGGACCTTCCTCAACAAGCCCATAAAAATTATATTAGATGGTCTTCTTTCTGAGCATTAAAAATTTTGATTTGTGATCCTTCAAGAAATCACTTTGTATATAACTTAGTGCAGAAATCTTTCTTGTTATTTTTTTCTAAAATTTCAATTTGTTTAGTGTACCACTTTTTTAGGATAATGAAAAATCAGATCCAACTAAAATAGTGACTAGTACAAGGATGATTAAGTGCATTATTGAGCTATTTGAAATGACTTTTGAAGAACGTTTAATGGTGCAGGAAAAATGCTTGTATAATTTTAAATAAAAAGGTGAGATGCAAAACCTTATATGTAATATCCCAACTACATGAAAAATGTATATAGAAAAAAGGAAGTGGCAAAATGTTGAATTAGGCTTCAAGGTGACTGCCACTTTTGCCTTTTTATTTTCCTCAATGACAATCCCCACTTTTATAATTACAATCCAGCTGTTACAAAGAAACATGATTAGTAAATACTAGCACTAGAAAAACTTAGCCTTGGTTATGAAAAATCTACATGTTTTCTCTCATATGTAGAAGTTAGCTGTAAAATAAAAATACATATAAAAACACAGAGAAGCCAGGCACTGGTGGCTCATGCCTTTAATCCTAGCTACTCAGGAGGCTGTGATTTGAGGATGGAAGTTCAAAGCCAGCTGGGACAGGAAAGTCTCAGAGACCCTTATTTCCAATAAACCACTACAGAACTGGGAGTGGCACTGTGGCTCACGTGGTAGAGTGCTAGCCTTGAGTTGAATTGCTGAAGGACAGCGTCCAGGCCCAGAGTTTAAGCTCCATGACCGACAAAAACAAAAACAAAAAAACATAGAGGATCATATGCATATATATACAATCAAACTGTTTAAAGTATGGTGTTCTCTGGGGTGTATTTCCAAGGTGCAACCCCTTTGAATGATTAACAGTTTAACAAAATGACTATCAGGAAGGTAAAACACATTTAGTCTGAGGAAAGCAAGGGTTAATGGAAAGGGAGAGGATGAATGGAGAGAGGAATAGTGGGAAAATAAAATTATAATACTCAATGTGTATAAATGAAAATGAAACTAGGTAAACTGAGGGAATGGGTGGTGTTGGGATAGATGGGGGGAGTGAAGGCCGGGTTGACAACATTCAAGATGCATTGTACAAATGAGGTGTACGTTGAATTGAAACAACTCCCTTGGCAAAACAATGTAAAGATTTTTTTAAAAACATGGAAAATAATCTCATTTGGTCCTTACCATTTGGATGAAAAGGAATGGACGTAAATTTTACAACTGGAGGCACATGGTTATATTCTGATGGAAAAGTTAATACCAATTGGAAACGCAATCCTGTGATACAGAAATATAGGTTTACCAAAATATCATATGATTTACCTCTAACCTGATTAATACTAGAGTTTCTGCTATAGTAAAGCCTTTCCATGATTTTCTTAGGTAAATTGCTTTATAGTGCATAGACCCCTGTGAATAGTAGAAGTGACACCTTACAACCTAAGAGCATTCATTTTGGTCTTTTTCCTCCCAGCTCTTTCCATCCACTACCTGAGCCCCTCTAATGCTGCCTCCCTGTAGCTATCTCATATTGACTAAACTCAGCCTTCCCAGAACCTGCTGTACCCTCTTGCACCTGTAAATCTGCTTGCCTTCTTGTGAACTTGGCAAATTCTTACATATTCTTCAGTATTCAACTCAAATGGTACTTCCTTGTAAAGTCCTTCTTGATGTCTGCCATTATAACTAACCACTCTCTCTCTCTCTCTCTCTCTATATATATATATATATTCAAAATGGTAGTCAAAATTCATAGTAACACATATTATATGTTATTGTCATTATCAGCTAGTCTCCCTATCTCACTCAGGAATCTATCTTTTTAATCTGCAGATGACATAACACATGGTCACTATAGTTTATAGCCAGCCAGACAATCTTTTCTGAGAACTTGCCTTAAGGCAATCTGGGGGAAAATCATAGAGGGGAAAATGAGAAGAAAGTAACTGTAGGATCTCAAAACCAATAGGAATTTTAATTTTTTGATGTCTTGGAAGAATGTTACAAGATATTCTTGCTTGATGTTCTTCATTGCGTTTGCTTCTTAGAAATGTAATAACATTGGATCCCTGGCATGTGGCTCAGTGGTAGAGTACTTATCTAGAATGTGTGTTGCCCTGGGTTTGGTCTTTAATACTCCCTCACCCCACGTGCATACACATACCATTAAAATTTGACATATAGGCAAACACTTAAAATTTTCAATGTGTTGGCAAATGGCAAATAATATCTGAGTACTTTTAAACTTCTAGAGAAAATAATATCTGAGTACTTCTAGAGAACCGATATGATGTAAACTTACACATTTAAAGAATTCCAAAAAATTATGTACTGTAATGTAACATACACATAATTATATAAATAATATTAAATAAATATAATTACACAAATTATATTAATACAAGATATTAATGGTATACAAATAAAAAAGGAATAGATTAGTTTTGAAAACATATACCTTGCCACATTGAATCCTGTAAACCTTCAATTTCAGCTTCCCATTTCAACATATTGTCACTTACAGGAGAGGCAGAAATACCCTTTAATTTAAAAATAAAACCAAAGAAGACAAATTATTTATTATAGTTTTGAAAGTCAGTTACCAGGTTACTTTGAATTTCAAAAACTCTAACATTTTTCTTGATTACTTACTTTTTTGTTGATGTGGGAATTGCTATATATCTGATGGTTATATGTCTATATTTCTGATGGAGGCATAGAAGGCATATACCATATATGGTATATATATGTATATGTATATATATATGGCATATATATGTATATGTATACCATATATATGGTATATATATGTATATGTATATATGGCATATATGGTATATATATGTATACGTATACCATATATATGGTATATATGTGTACATGTATATATGGCATATATGTATATATATGTATATGTATATATGGCATATATACATATATATACCATATATATGGCATACATATACATATACATATACATACCATATTTTCTTGATCCATTTATCTCCTGAGGGGCATCTGGGTTGGTTCCATATCTTAGCTATGGTAAATAATGCTCCTAGGCTGGTCTTGAACCTGGATCCTCAGACCTCAGCCTCTTGAGTAGGTAGGATTACAGGATAAGCCACTGATGCCTGGCCTTCTTTCTTTTTAACCCTCTTATAGTAGAAGTGAAAACACCAATATTGAACTCAGAGTGCACCTGTTCAGAGCATCTGCATTCTACACTCTTATTCTGTGTATGCCTTTTCTCCTGTTCTTTGCTTTGAGTACCTTCCCCTCTTTCACTCTCTTCTATAACTCAGCTATGGCACCAATGGTCACCAAAACGTCTTTGCTGTCTTTTGGAACAAAAGGGAATTGCCTTCCTCTGTGAAAATGTTGCAAGAGAGAGGGTTTTATTTGTTATTCTGGTATAAAGGTAGTGCCTTTATACCAGAATATATATATATATATATATATATATATATATATATATATATATATATATATATATATATATATATATACTTGTTACAGCAAGTAACAGAACACAAGAGAAAAGGTTGAGAGTCAGAAAAACCTTCTAATGGAGTCCTAGGGCCAAATCTTTATGGACATTTTTGTAGCCTTAGGTTTTCGGTTGGATAAAATGAAATACTATTTAGTTCATAGTGGTATTTATCATTGAGAACAATCTTGCACTTAGTATGTGACAGACAGAGCATGAAACTCAAGACTTAACTTCAAAGGTACTCAATACTGTTAGTCATTATCATCTTGAATTCATATTTATTTGTATGTGTGTGTTACTGGGGCCTGAATCTGTGTCTGAGCTTTTTGCTCAAGGCTAGTGCTCTTACCATTTGAGCCACAGCTGCACTTTCAGCTTTTTGGTGGTTAATTGGAGATAAGAGTCTCATGGATTTTTCTACCCGGGGTTGGCTTCCAACCCTGATCCTCAGATCTCAGCCTCCTGCACAGCTAGTATTATAGACGTGAGCCTTCAATGCCTAGCTCTGTAGTAATGATTATTATGACCCTAATTCATCAAGTAACAATACAGCAGTAGCAAATTAGACTTCATTAGATGATTTTAAGAAGCATGGCTTTAAGCTACTTCTTCAAAAAATCTTAGCTCATGAAACAAATCCTCCCACCTCCAGAGTACTTACCACGAAATTGTTCTGCCTCAGTTCTCTGAAGTCTCTTTCCAGCAAGATGTAAGTTCCACAGTACATACTAAAGCAGCGGGGTCGTCACCTGGACGCCAATGCTTCAGGTCTTGCTGATTTCGAGTTACCTTCCGTCACCCAGTTAACTAGATGTCAACCTAAAATGCTCCCGAGATGAATAACTACTGAGTTTGGAGCAATTTTCCTCTTCTTTTTTCTAGGAAGAAAATAGGGGTCTTAACTCATCTGTGGCGCAGCAGTCACTGCGGTGCCAGTCCATAGTCCTCCGAGAAGCTTCGGTGCACAACGGAGACACTCCCGGGCTGTTGCTGCGTGGAGAGGGCGTGAAAAGTCTAAGCCCTGGCAGGTGGTCGGGCCTCCTTCGCAGGTGTAAAGGGGACTTTTTTTAACTGGGGAAAGCAAACCCGTTGCCTGGCAACAGACTTCCGTGGGAAAGGAGAAAGAAGGTAGGGGTGTGGCCGTCTCTCGTCCAATCAGCGGCGGGATGCGGCCTCTGGTTACCGCCACAGCCAATCGATGAGCAGTTTCACTTTGAAAGGCCAATACTGATGGCGTTCAGGACAAGACTCCATCCTACCCCCCCCTCCCCCCCCCCCCCGTGGTCTCTACGTGGTCTCCTCGTGTGGAGGGTCTGCGGTGCAGCCCCAGGTCCCAGGATGTGGGACACAGATACTTTCACATGAAGGAACACTCGGAGATGATCTCTTTTTTTGCTTTTACCCTTCTTCTTCTTTTTTTTTTTTTAAAGTCCTTCCTACCCGACTAACAGTCTTCTAAAATGGACACCTGAAATCATTTGTCTCCTCTTTTTCGTCACTTCTACCTTCTACCACTCCCCATGACACGTAGCCTATATAACGTTTCGTCAGCACTCAGATCACAACTTTGTCATCACTTGTCAAGCTACAGAATGTCTTTGCACCGTGTTTCCTGCCTGTTGTAGAATTGCACTTAAACAAATATGTGCTTATCTAATTCTCTGCGTAAACACTTCAAGGGTTTCCTTTTACCTCTCAGCCTATTTCCATCTTCCACCTTTTAAATATGGGTTGACTTCTAGGGATGTATAGGTACAGTGAGTGAAATCATGGGCAAATTTACATGTGTGCATTTGTATGAGTATGTATGTGCTCATAGGCACACATTAGTTTTGGATCAGAATCTATGAAATTCACTAATTTTAATACTATGCATTGGCAAAAAGCTTAAGAAATCATGCTGTACAGACTTAAAACTGAGCTGCTTAGCATGGTAAGGCAGAGCCTTTTCTATGCTGTTCCTCTTTCTCTTACTTATTGAGGCCCATTCAGCTTCAGACTTGAGGGACTACAGCATTGAACCACATGCCTTTTCATACGTGTACCGTCTTGTCTAGCTCCAGCTATCTTTTCTGCCTTGACTCCCGGACTCTCCCTCCTCCACTTCCTCCTCCTGCCACCTCCTTCTTGGTGTTACTGGGGACTGCCCTCAGGACCTCAAGCTTCCTAGGCAAATGCTCTACTACTTGAATCATGTCCACAGTCCTTTTGCTTTTAGTTTCTTTGTTGTTGTTGTTGGTCATGGGGCCTGAACTCTGGGCCTGCACGCTTTCCCTCAGCTTTTCAGCTCAAGGCTAGAGCTCTACCACTTGAGCCACAGCACGACTTCCACCTTTTTCTGTTTATGTGGTGCTGAGGAATCGAACCCCGGGCCTCATGCATGTGAGGCAAGCACGCTACCATTGAGCCACCTACCCAGCCCGTTTCTTTTTTTCTTTCTTTCTTTTTTCAAATGGGATCTTGACAACTTTGCCAGAGCTGGCTTCAAATGATGAACTTTCCTACCTATACCTTCAGAGTGTCTAGAATTACAAGCCTGGCTTCTTTCCTCTCTTATCTGATTGTCAACTCTTACACATCTGAAACACATAAATTCTTCTTTGAAGCTTTCCTGAACCATCTGGATGGGTTGTGTTCTAGTTTAACCTGGGCTTATCTTTGTATATTATTCCCATATAACTTTGAAATTGTCTGTGTAATTTTCCCACTAGAACATAAATGGCCAAGGGCATCATGACTTGTCAGGACATTCCAGTCCCAAGCACCTGACATCAATGCCAGCTGATTGAAGGGACCTAAGCAGGAAAAAAATAGTTCTAGAGTCAGATGAGTAACGTTCCATCAGAGAATAAGGCATAAGCAAAGGAACTAGACAATACAGTAATATGGAGAAATGTGAGATCCATATGCCCCAAGGCATATGGAGGATTCAGGTCTGAAGGAGAATGACAGACAGCCTGCCATGAGTCAGAAAGACTCTGGTTAAGAGCAAGAGCCACCAAAGCAGAGAAGCTTCAGAGCTGCAATTAGGAAATAGATTATAACCCAAACCCCGAGGACACCGAAATGAAAATAAGTTAAAACTGGTGTAACTGAGGAGACTGAAAAGTTCGAACACCTGTAATGTTTGGGAGAAGCAAAGCTGCCGGCCAGGCAGCGTGTGCAGGTTGACACTGTAGTGTTTGGAAGTACAGATAAGGGTGAGTACAGTGTACTCACTGGCTGGCTAGCATTTACCTCAGCTCATGGCTTATGGGAGATGTGCTTTAGTTCTGGAGGTTCCTAAGCTGGAAATGGGACCAAGGCTTTGGTGAGAAGAGGAAGCAAGAGGAAATGAATGAGTGAGAGAAAGAGGGAGAATGAGAGGGAGAAAGAGAGGGAGTGTTTGTGTGTGCATAGCATCTGGTGTACATGTAGCATCTAGGTAAGTTTACTTTCTTTGATTAATAGCATCAGCTGTTCAGATAGATGAATCACTTGAAATGTGAAATTTATAAGTAGAGGCCTAGCCAAAAATATATTTGTCTGCATGGAATCACCTTTCGCAAATGATTGTTTTACAAATGTTTCCAATATATTATTGATGTCACAATCTTACATGATCCATTCCTAAACCATGTCCTGATCTGCCTGTTCATCAGATTTGTTAGGGTGCATGGCTGTTTTTTGGATAAGCCAGAAGAATCTGGAAAATAAATAAATTCCTACCTGTAGTATTTCTACTATGTATTTACTATGGTAAAAAGCAGGTACTCTCAAGACAAATCTGGCTTGTATTTTAGCATAGCTATGTCTTAGTAGCTTATGTGCATAGCCCTGAAGAAGTTATTTAGATTTCCAATGACTACATTTTTTTCCTCATCTGTTTTTGTGAAACAATGATGATACTTGTGGGATCGTTGTGAGAATAAAAAGGAATAACATCTGCCAAAGGCTTAATCACTGACTAGCGTTGAGTTACGACAGCCAACATTTTTCATGTGCTAGATATTGTTTTAGGTGATTCATGGAAATTAACTTCATCCTCATAAAACAACTCTAGGATCTAAGGACTCTCATGGGTCTAATTTACAGATTAGGAAACTGAGGCCCAAAGACAATAGGCTTTTTGCTTGAAGTCACACAGCTTATGGGATGTAGCAGAGACTAAATGCAAACCCAAGATATGGATCTGCAGAGCCAGTGTTTCAACCACTAGGCTATACAGCCTCACAAGTGTCTTACATTGTATGAAGTGAACACCCAGGCCTTCTGATATAGATTAGTGTGAGTCTCAGTAGTTGATGGTAATTGTCTGGGGATTTTGTTATCTGTTCTGTCTGTACTTCCATCTTCTGAATCTCACGGGGTTAATCCATAAAAGCCAGATTGTGTTATATAAGACAGTGTCTGTCTACATACTTATTAACTAAACATGTACCAAATCTTCTCTTCTACCTTAAGTCATTCATTAAAAGCTGTCTCTGAGTTTTGCAATTTATATAGTTATTTTACTCTGTAATTTGTCCAAAAGTATTACTAACTAGTAAACAATTGCTTTATGTTGATTTTTAGTACTTTTGTGCCTTCAAATGGAGAGGCAGTTTCAGTAAGTCCAGTTGCTTGTTGGGCTTTTGCTCATGGTCTTTCTCCCTAAAACTATGGCCTGGAGATTTGAAAACAGAAATGTTGCAGTATACTTTCAGAGGAGGCAGAATTCTAAACTAACCTTCAGGGTCTGTAAACCTTGTACAATCCTCCAGACTGTGAATATGTTGGATTTTGTTTATGTGATTGAGTTCTATGGTATATTTTTAGAGGAAAGATTTTTCCAGACTGCATCTCACTTCATCAGGGTGTGTCTGGGTTCTTCAGGAAGGCAGAGGTTCAAGGTGTGTGTGTGTGTGTGTGTGTGTGTGTGTGTGTGGTACTCCAGGTAAAGGAAAGATTCTCTGAAAATGAAAACCAGTATGGTAAAGTATAGATAGTCTTCAGATGCAGAGAGCAGCAACTGGCTGAGGGTAAGAAGAATGCCAGAGCCTCAGTCCAACCATTGCCATATGCACATGAGCTTTGAAGAGGACCAGAATTCCTGTCCAAAACAGCTGACAAGCTGTGAGAATTTGAGCAGAAAGTTTCATCAGGCCATGTCTGGGCCATACTGAACAGGCCTTTAGTTTTCTAATAGGTCCAGGCCTGAACTGCAATCCTGTTATTTGTACTTAAAAGGCACAACTGGAAATACCAGTGTGCACGAGTCTCATAAATTTTTTTCTTTGGGCTTGACCTTTGACCACAATTCTCCTAGTCTCTATCTCTCAAGTAGCTAGGATTATAGGTATGAGCCGCTGTGCCCCAACATAATACAACTCTTTTTTTTTGTCAGTCATGGGGCTTAAAATTAGGGCCTAGGTGCTATCCTTGAATTCTTTTGCTCAAGTCTAGCACTCTACTACTTTGAGACATACCTCTACTTCCAGTTTTCTGATGGTCAATTGGAGATAAGAGTCTCATGAACTTTCCTGCCCCAGCTGGCTTTGAACTTTGATCCTCAGATCTCAATCTCCTAAGTAGCTAGGATTCCATGTGTGAGCCACTGGCACCCAGCTTAATTCAAGTTCTTATCCAGAATATATAACTATTGACCAAGGAAAGTTGTGTGGCAGAAAGTTGACTACTTACTGGTCTCAGTTTACCCAGATTTGCTGTGTAAAGAACTGGAAATGGATCTATCTATCTATCTATCAACTATCTATAGATATAGGTATTGATATACACATATCTATACATATTTACAAACACATACATGTAACATCTATCACAAGGGAAAATTAGTTTGGAGCAAACTAGTCCAAAGACTGGTTCTATGATTTTTAGATCATGTTTCTGGTTATTAGCATCTGGATTTAGACAGGGTGAAGGTGTATGCCAGGGTACGAAATCTTTAAAATTAAAGATCAAACTAACACTTACATATAAACTTTCACCTTCCTGGTTTAGGAGCACAGTGGAGGGTGGAATTGCCTGACATTTGCAGCATTGCTGAGGCTGTCTCTAGCTTTCAAACTATGCATCCCCTCTCCACTCTTTT